GATGTGGCAATCTACGCTGAATGAGAGGTCTGTGTGCAGAAGAAAAGGGTCTAATATGAGGTGTCAGTCAAGGCCCTGGTGGGCTGAGGAGGTGTCTTCATGAGGTAAGGGATAGAAGTGGCACTAGTCCAGTATTAGGGTCCAAGCAGTAACACATCTATTTGATGTGGAAAGAGGGACTAGTAGAAACATATATGCATACATTACATATATACTAATCAAATGAATATGTCAAGGATATGCTGGATGAAAAGTGAATTCATAGTACAGGTGAAGGGAATTAGAAATATAGAGTCAGTCATTAGATGAGTTCTGGGGAAAATGACATGCACTTGTGGCTTTCAACATGACAAAGATACAGAAATAAAGGTATTAATATGTGTATATATAAGCATTTACTGTACATTAGTTTCCCTTGCTGTGTCAACTGAGAGGGCCTGGGAACACTAGTACCTCAGTAGCAGTAAGTATACATAGTACTCCAGATCTCCACCAAAAGAGACCTGGGCTACTTGAAAAATTAGCCATTTCTAGGTCAGGGGCAAGGAAAAGCACAGGACAGGCCTTACTTTTGGGCTTATGTCAGAAAGTAAGGAAAGAGTTATAGATTTGGACTTGAAAGTGGTCAAAGCTGGGACAATCTGAGAATCAATTTGAGTATTAATCAAAATAAATAATGATAATAATGGATCATATTTTGAATAAAACAGGATTCCATGATCAGTAAAGGGATAAACTGAAAGTTTGTTAAGAAGCAAGATAACTACACCACCTCAAAATATCTCCCTATGAGATAAAATTTAATTACTAAGGGCAAAAGTTACAATACAAAAACTTGGCAAACAGAACTTTAATCGAGTGATCTAATACAAAACCACTAGAAATAAGGAAAATCAAAGTCACATGCCCTTGATAGAATGCAATACTCCAAATTAAGGTTAACTGTAAAAACAGCTGGCCTATACTTTTCAAGTGTCCAAGTTGTTAAAAGTCAAGACAAAAACGAGGAACTGTTTCCAACTGAAAAAGATGAGTAAGATGAGACAAATATCTGCACATAAGATACTAGATCAATCTTTTTGCTATAATATATGCTACTGGAATAACTGGCAGAACTTAACTGTGGCCTGAATATTAAAGGGTAGAAATATATCAAAGTTAATTTTCATGGCTATACTGTGGTTATGTAGAATATTTTGTAGACAATAAATTATTTGGAAATCCTAGGGCATCATACTAGCAATTAATTTTTTTCTTTCTTTTTTTTTTTCTTTTTTTTTGGTACTGGGGATTGAACTCAGGATCCTGCACTTGCAAGGCAGGTGGAATTAATGAAAGCTAAATCCCCAGGGTCCTGCCAATTTACTTTAAAGTTCTGAACAAAAACAAAAAAAAGAAAAACTCATAGGAGTTTAAACTGTATATAACTGCACTATAATAATTCACTGCACAAGCACTGCATAATTAGCATCATGTAGCTTTTTGCAGTCATCATGAAAAAACTCTATAAAATATATTGATTCTTTAACAATTCTCTGCTTCATTCTGGGTTCTACTTTTCACATTATGAGGCACACCAAAGAACTGAAGAACTACATTCTATATTGCAAGATTTACATTAAATAGAATCATACTACATTAGAACAGTTAAAAAATCTGAATAAAGACTCAATGGGGTTACTAGACAATTACTTATCCCACAATGTGGGTTAAATCTGTTAAGGAAAACAGAAGATCCTTTAGGCTATAGAATCAAAATTCTTGTGCCATTTTTCTTTTTCTTTTTTTTGGTAGCAGGGATTGAATTCAGGACCTTGTGAGTGTGAGGCAGGCACAGTGCCACTGAGCTAAATCCCTGGCTTCTCATGCCAGTTTGAATTCTATCACCCAAATAGTTTAACTGATAACAATTTTGCTTTTTCCTATATTTCTATCTAAACAGATTAAGAAGGAAAACAACTCACTTTATGGAAAACAGTGCTGTCAAATGAATTTATAAAAATGTGAATGGGTAACTGGGAATTTGATCTTCTAGTTAGTTGGTTAGAGAACTACTAATTTTGTAAACTTACTTTTCAATCATACCTCCAAACTTAAAACAAATTTTCTTTTTTTTTTTGGTACAGAGGATTGAACCCAAGACCTTACACTTACAAGGCAGGCAGTGGAACCACTGAACTAAATCCCTGGCATTTAAAACCAAATTTTTAATATGTGGATAATACTAAATGTTACATACAGTATAAATCATTCTCAAACATTTCTAATACAAATCATTTATTTTGTGAAATTTTATTTGAAAAACACCTGACTCCCTATTTTGCATAAGATACCATGTTAAAAATAAGATTCAGATTCTGCCATTAATAATAGACTAAGTCAGTTTTACACTCACACACACATACATAGTAAAATATAGACACTATGGGAACATGAGCATTCTGGAGTTGGTCATTTCTCTTCAGCACCCATACTCCCCTTAGAGAGCCTGATCTGCCTATACATAGTGGTCAGTACAGGGGTTAGCCTATATACCTATAATACTGACAAACTTGTCTTAGGCAAATCTGGGGAAATACCTGAAGTTAAACCAATCAGACCACATTTTCACTTTAATAGGTAGGCACCAGAATTCCAAAATCAGACTCAGGATTGATGGACTTTTGGGGTGATATTCATCCTGATAAAGAATTAATGAAAGCCAGAATGGAGTAGGCACAGAAAAACAGAGATGAAAAACTACACAGCCAAGAAAAAGGAAAGTAATTTCTGTGATGGGGTGGGGTCCTTGAGAGTTCCTAAAAACTTTAGTATGAGCTTCCACTTCCCTCAAGAAGGCTACTGAAAGAAGAAATACCTGAGTTCATTCTTCTCAAAGGAAAAAACATCAGCAAGTTAGGAATGCTATTTTACAAGGAGGAGACAGAATGCTGAAGTATACTGCAGAGTACACTTGAGAAGTCTCTAAGACCTTCTAATTCTTGTTGCACAGGATACAAGTTTAAGGGAAGAGAGGTTAAGGGCAGAGAGGAAAGCAAATGTTGAAGGGCTTTTAATACCATGCAAAGGAGTCTACGTTCTACTCTCTCCCCAACCCTACCATACTGCCCTCTTTTCGTCCAAAACCAAGGCTATAAACTATGGCCTTACTTCATTTGTTGAACTGTGAAAGTTTCTCACATGTTTTAAATAGCTGAGGGGCAGGGGACAGGGCAAAGAAAAATATGCTGTAGAGATCAATATTCCCACAAAGCCTAAAATATTTATTATCAAATCTCTTTAAAGAAAATGTTTGCCTAAACCTGCAGCAAGCAATTTAAGAATTTAAATTTGATAAGATTACTATACCAGATGGCTGAGTAAAACTATGTCTAAGATAACCAGCATGAGGTACTGCTCAGTTCAAGAGACTATGGTCAGAACTCAAAAGAACAGTTAAGAAGAAAAAATGCTCTCAGGATAAAGCCTCAAATTCTTAGCACTGATCCCAGAACCCTGCATGGAATGACCACTGCTTCCTACTCCAGACTCATGCTATCTCTGACTCTAGTTATACAGGCTTTTAATCAGCTCCCTCCCTCAGCCTAGAATGCTCTCACTTCCTATTCATCCTTCCCTTTCTCAGATCTCACTTCTGATCTCCCATCATCTACTACTACAGTACCCTTAAATTCAGCTTTCAGGCTAGGCATGACGGAACACACCTGTAATCCCAGCACTTGGGAGGCTGAGGCAGGAAGATCACCATTAAGTTCAAGGCCTCTCTGGGCTAAATAGTGAGTTCAAGGCCAGCCTGAACTACATTGAGAGATCCTGTCTCAAGAAAAAAAAAATTCAGATTTCATTCATTCATTCAGTTGATAAACTACTGAGCACATACATAGAGTAGGAATTGTGCTAGACTCCAGTGACAATGATTCAGACATAGTCTCTTCCCCTCATAGAATCTCACCAAAGTCCCACGTGGTCATAGATGGGGCTTTTTAGAAGTGGTTGGATCTAGAGTGTGTGATGCTGGGATCAAAGGTGTGCAACACTAAATTAATCCACGTCTGTCAAAGTTCTAGGTAGGACAAAGGGTGCCCCACGCCGGGTGTGGGCAGATAGCTTGGATAAAATATGAGACATAAAGAGGGTCCCTGCTTGTCACTAATAGCTTACTGCTTGCTACCTTCTGCTTGCCATGAACTGTTTTCCCTCTGCTATGCCACCTTGACTAGAGCCAGCCAACTGTGAGCTGAAACCTCTATAAACTGTGAGCTATAATAAAACCATTCCTCCTTTAACTTTGGGTATTGGATAGTTTGTCTCAGCAATCAGAAAAGTAACTAAGACAGCATGTTTATTCAGTATGGCCACTCATTCTTCCTTATACTTGTTTCAAATTAAAGAATTTTAAATACACGTACATTTTGACTATTTTTCAAAGTAAGCATAACTGCATTTAAACAGTTTCTCTGGATTTGAACCTCCAGATTTAGGTATAAAAGCATAGGGCAATTTGTTTCTGTGTCTTGATATATTTGACTCTTATTGGACTAGAATCAAAAGATTCTGCATGCCATACAAATTTTTTAAAACTAGTATTTTATTTCCGTATTTTGAAGTTACACCTCAAAACTATAAATAGCTTGTGTACTTTATGCCTCTAATATCACCATGCCTTGGCTGATATGGTGTTCACTGATTAAAGGACTATATAACTTCAAATTAATATTTCTGATCAGCATGAAACCACTATGGTAATAAATTTAGTTGCTATAATTAAATCCAAATAAATCTGACATTTTAATTAATTTGTACAACCTTAAATTGGGTAAACTTTTTGCCAAAAATATTTCTGAAAGAATTAAAAAAAACAAAAAACTAAACATCATAGATACAGTAGGTCACCAGTAATGTGAGGACTACTGTATGAAAACATCTGAAGTCAACAGTGTTTGAGAAATTAAAATAAAATAAAAAGAACACTTTTGCATTAAAAATTTAACATTGCTTACCTTTCTAGATGGTGGGCCATGAGTTTTACTGACTCTGCTGCTAGGGATCCCTCAGCTCTTACCAAGTAAACAATGCTTCTTAAGTTTCCATCTAATATTCCTGGAGAAAAGAAAGGCAGGAAAGAATGATTTATCCTGTGGAAGCTGAAGAAATAATCTGGTACAGTTCAACTCCATTATGAAATTTTGAAAAATTTATTTTTATTTAAAAGATATACTTGTGCTCACTTCAGCTGCACATATACTAAAAGATAAACTTGACTTTTGCCTTTCATTCTATATTATCTAACACAAAATTTAAAATCTCTGGGTTAGGGATGTAGCTCAGTAGTATTTGCTTTATATGTGTGAGGTCCTGGGTTTACTCTCTAGTGGATCTAAAGAAACAAGTTCCTCCAAAATATTCAATAGTCTAAAATGATGTATATCTTGTTGCCTCTCATAACTCTTGGAGATTATAAACTATTAAAGGTGTAAGACTTTTATGGGTAAAAGTAGGGAAATGAAATATGGTAAAGGAAAAAAAGGAGAAAAAATATTTTAAATCATAATAAGCCTGAAGGGGAAAGAAATTATAGATAACAAATGAAATGGTAGTACTAAATCTAAACATCAAAATTCTTTGGAGCATTATCTCATCATTATCTCTACATTGCATGTGTAAATCATAAGCCACAAGGGCCAGGTATAGCTGATGTTTGAAGTGGCAGTAATACCAGTCAGTCTTACTGTTTGATCAAACAGCAAGAGAAGAAAGGATAGGAGCAATAGCCTCCCTTTAGGGAAACTTTTCAGGAATCACATAGGAAACTTCCATTCACATCCCATGTGGTAGAATTACATGGTCAAAGCTAGCAGGGACACCAAGAAACATTTCACTACACAGTACACCTAAAAACTGCAGTTCCTATCTGGGTGTGGTGGGACATGCCTATAACCCCACACTCAGGAGGCTGAGGCAGGGGCATCACCACAAGTTTGAGGCCAGCCTGGCCTACATTAGTGAGTTCAAGGCCAGCCTGAGACCCAAAAGAGAATTCTGCAGTTCCTATCAATAAGACAAAAGGAAATGTACAGTCACAGAGAACTAGTTGTTTCTGTCACACTCATTTCATTCTAAAATGCAAGATGGCTGGCTACTTCACAGTCTACTGAACTGATCTTTCAAAAGTAGGTCTTGGGGCCGGGGCTTTAGCTATCTAGCTCAGTGGTTGCCTTGATGTGAGTTCAATCCCTGGTACCGCCCCATCCCAAAAGCAGGCCTTGCTATTGGCAGATAAAAGACCAACTTTTATAAAGTTTTCCCTAAATATCCAAGGCTAATCTGTAGATGACAGGAAGAAGAGAAAAATCTGAATACCAGAACAATGGAAGAGCACAGAAACGATCTGAATCGCTGTAGTTTGGGAGCATAAATTCACACAAACAGCCCACAAATACTCAGAAAGGACCACACAGCCCTATGTGAGATTAGGTAAGAACTCTGTAGACAAAGTTCAGCTATCAACTGTATTAGGAAAATATAATGATCGGAGAAGCACGATGTTCAACAGGAAAGTAGACCTTCCTCTACTATTATCTCAAGACTGAGCTCTCATTATTAGGTCATGTAAAAACTTAGGAGAACTCCCTACTACAGACTGTTGGGAAAAAGGGAACTTATTTAACATTTTTAACGTTTAAAACTTTGATGTGGATACCAAAACCTAGAAAGACTCTTCCTTTCAAAACTTGCAAAAAATTTTTGTTTTAAATACAAACTGTTCCTTACAGGAAATAGGATGCAAACAGGAAATTCAGCTGTATAAAATGTAAACTGGGGACTATAAATGCAGTAGCAATTCAAGGGACAAATGGCTCTCTGAGATAATGTAAATGTTCATGTATTCTAGGTAGAGATGAATTTCTGTAAATTGCCTCTTTCAGAAGTATGTTTATTTCGTAAGTACAGCTTTATGTTTCCCCATTTGTAAAGAGATTTGTGTTCTTACTTCAACAGCTGCTCAAAATGATCAGGAACTAACACCCTAAAAAATAGTAAGACTGGTATTACTGCCACTTAAAACATCAGCTATACCTGGCCCTTGTGGCTTATGATTTACACATGAAATGTAGAAATAATGATGGACTTTGAAAAATATTAAAACTTTTAATTTTACTTGAAAGGCACATATTATGGTTTAGAGCTAAAATGTCCCCCAAAAGTCTCATGTTCACAAGTGAGGCCTGGTCATAGGGATGGGTCACTGAGGGTAAAACCATGAAGAGTGTACCTTGACCTCCTTTTGGGACTACCCTTCTCTCAGCTTCCTGCCTGCCATGTGGTTAACAGTTTTTCTCCATGTGCTCTTTGACCATGAGGCTTCTGTCTTGGAGTCTGCCTACTCTAGACTGAACCTACTGGAATTGTGAGCCAAAATAAACCTCTACTCCTTTAAGTTGCAAGTGATGGGTATTTTGTCCCAGCAACAGGAAAGCTAATATAGAAAACTGGGGTGAAAGTATCTGAATGTGGAACTTGTCTATGGAAGAGTTAGGAAAAGTTTGGAGAACTAGGTTAGAGAAGAAAATATTGATAGGAACGTGGACAGTAAAGGCAGGCTCATGAGGTTTTAGATGGGAATGAGTACTGTACTGGAAACTGTATTAGAGAATTATGCTTCTTTCATTCTAGCAAAGAATCTGTCTATATTTTGTATGTATCCCAAGAGTGTATACGGCTGAATTTAAAGGTAGTATACTAATTGAACTGGCAGAAGAAATTTCAAGACAGCCCAGTGTTCAGGGTGTGGCAAGGATACTGCTGGCTGCTTTCAGCGAGATTTACAGTGAGAATCAGGAGTCGGCAGAGTTATGATTTGAAAAATTTGCCATTTTGTCAGAATGGATGCACATGTAAAGTTGGGCGAGAGCACAGTTGCTGAAAAGACTAGTATATTAAAAAAAAAAAAGTACTTTGCATAAGAACAACAGAAAAGGTGGTCTGAAGGCATCTCAGGAATAGACCAGATCCCAATCTTTAAGGATCCAAGAGAATAAAAGGGCATACATCTTAACACCAGAAAAGAGCCCAAGGGAGCCTAGCTCATTCAGGGCTGCCTAAGGAAGTATTTCCCAGAGGTTAGCTATCCAGGCACTTAGAGGTTCCTGCAGCCATAGTCCAACAGAGGTCAGTTACTGCTCCCACTGGCAGCAGACCTAGGCATAATCCATGCAGTGCTTCTTTTAGGTATGTAAAAGGCAAAAATTGTAGGGTCACAGAGGACCTTCACCTAGAATTCAGAAGGCCTGTAAACCCATGCAGTGTGGCCTTGAGAAGGAAGTGTATAAAGCTGTGAGTGAAGTAGAAAGTACAGTGGAGACCCCAGGAAGCTGAAGATGTCAGGAACGTGAAACATCTAAGAAAAGCTGCAGGTAGCAAGCAGAGATGGCACAAGGAAGAGGTCACGTGGGCTGTAACCAGCAAGATCATAGAGGCCTAAGTCCTTTGAAGGTTGTACCTCATCACAACCTGTACTAGGTGTTGGACATGGATTTAATATTTATCCTGCTGAGTTTTGGTCTAATTTTTGTCAGTTCTCCTATTCTTCCAGTTTGAAAGGGCAATGTTTACCCTGTGCCATTTTATAATGGAAGTGTTTAACTTTCTGACTTTTACAGGGGGTCACAGCTTAGAGGTTGTCTTAGGTCTCAGAAAGACTGGACTCAGACTTTTCAGCAATACTGGAACTGTTAAGATGACTACAGTCTCAGAATATTATGGTTTAGATGAAAATGTCCCCCAAAAGTCTCATATTTGGAGATGAGGCCTGGCCAGAGGGTCACTGGAAGTGAAATCTGCAAAGGTGTATTCTTATCCCCAGTTCCTCTCCTTTCTCTGCTTCCCAGACACCATACAGTGAAAAGCTTTCTTCCACCATTTCCTTGCAACATTCTGTTTCTGCCTTGGAGGCTCCCAATCATGAACTGAACCTCGATGGAAAACAGGTCAAATAAACCTCTCCTCTAAATTGTGGGTACTGTGTCTTTTGTCCAGGGTCAGGAAAATAGCTAATACATCACAGATGTAAGGTATCTCTACCACCATTATAGATTTACTTCTTATATTTGATATAACTAGTCTGCAGGTATAAACACTGCTCACTCTGTACTGAAAGGTATAATAAACACTGCTAATGATGAGTATCCTGGTAAAAGCTAAATACTGTACCAGGAAACAGGGCCCAAAAGATACCCATTAATGTTAGAAATAATTAATCCTTTCTTGGGAATGACCTCAGAAAAGTTTAGTATACTCAAGAGCAATCCTGGATAGGAGAGACAAGTTGACTTCTGTCCTTATGACTGTGTAAGAGCAAGGCAGGTATGGGAGAGTGTTACAAAATGGCAGCATTCAAATGGAGATATGTATTACTAAAGGTACAAAAAGGCTTTCCAAGGGATACCTACACATCCAAATCTTCAACTTTCCTTTGTCCATTTTCCTAAAAATGATCTATCTACTTTCCCTGAGTCTTCATTCTCACATATTTCAAACAAAACAACCAAAATACAATAAAAACCAAATACAGTCTCAACCATCCCCAAACCCGTTTGAATGCATTGTCCCAGGTTCTATAAACTTTCATGCAACCAATGGATAACTTAAAATGTCTTAAAGCCTCCATTAATTAAAACATCATTAACCTTCAGCTTCATGTCTATTTTTATATTTTTGCTAAAGGCAAAATATGGTTTTAGCAATAGAATCTGTTCTGTGTTTAGGGATACTCTAAATTCAGATATACAATGTGATAAGAAAAATAGCAATTTTTATTTTTTATTTGGCATTGGGATTGAACTCAGGACCTTCTGCTTGTGAGGCATGCACGGTGCCACTGAGCTAAATCCCCGGCCGCAACAATTTTTATTTAATGACTGCTTCTTCCATTGTTGAAGTACTATCTAAAAATGCATTGTTCTGAGGGAATACCATAAAAATAAATTTAAATTTTTTTTGACAAGTTAAACTTGTATTTGTTACAAAGAGCATAACAAAATTTCAATAAAATATATTAATACAGAATACAATGGATTCAATAAAATTACGTTGAAGGAATA